GGAAAAGGAAGCTGATATTTGGTCTGCCTCTCAAAGGCTCTTATCAATTATAGAAGACGGAGGACAGCAAAAGACTGTGTGAAGGTTCCCAAGCAGGGGCGGACTGACAACTCATGGGGCCCCTGGGCAATAGGGGATCATGGGGCCCCTGTGTCCTTGCCCAAACTCAACAAAGCCTATGAAAAAGGTACCAGGGCATCTCAAGGGGCCCCCTACTAACCCCGGGCTCTCGGGCAATGCCCGAAGTTCCAAATGGTCAGTCCGCCCCTGTTCCCAAGACATCACAGGTGTCTTCTCCACAGTCCACTTAAGCTCACCTGAGATTATAAAATAGCAATTTAAAGCTCCAGCCACATAAAAAGGCACAATTTAATGCAGATCCATATTAATTTATGCAATTTATTTTTTGAATGCAAGTAGTGTAAGTACCCAAATTTGTTCTGGTATTAGCCTCATGCAGTCCCTGTATGGCAAAGCAGAATGAAAGAAGCAACATAAGGAGCCAGATGGTTTTGTTGAATTACATACTGTATGTAGCACGCTGAAAGGAGGAGATAGCAAGGTGACAGAGAGAACATCTGTATGCTGCTTCTCCTGATACCACTAAAGGTGCAGTTACACTTTCAGGGCCCCAGTACGCATTTTGGACCTTGCTGGGAACCCCACCACCACCACCACCACTTTACTGGCCCAACCTGAACTCACCAAAATGTACAGAGTGACAAGTAAATTTACTGGATGGCAGAGCTGTGTAGAAAATGCTGTAACATATCCCAGCACAAGGGGTGCATAGAGAAGCACCCCTGTGATCTGCACTCACACTGTGGCTTTGTTGTACAACTCTGTCATGCAAAACAGTGCACTCTGCATTATCCTGAGTTTCATAGTGGGGCTGTAAAGATGATGTAGGAACTGGGCCATGGCCCAGGTACAACCCTGGTTTCAAATCACTCTCAGATAGATCTCCACTTGCAAACCACTCTTGGATGGAAATCCAGTTCCGAACCAATAACTCTATACCAGGGGCGGACTGACAACTCATGGGGCCCCCGGGCAATAGGGAATCATGGGGCCCCTGTGTCCTTGCCCAAACTCAAAAAAGCCTATGAAAAAGGTACCAGAGGCAACTCATGGGGCCCCCTACTGACCCTGGGCCCTCGGGAAGTGCCCGAGTTTCCAAACGGTTAGTCCGCCCTTGCTCTATACTCAAATGTATAAGATTGGCTTTAGCTCACAACTCAGGAAAACAAACTTCAAGAAGTCTGCTTTAGAAGGTTAGGAATAGTTTGTGTGAGATTTTATCTTATATTTGTTTCATTTCACAATTTACCCTATTTTTAAAAACATACTTAAAGTGGTTATAAACCTCAGACATGAAATATGAACAAAGCATATCCCTCTATAGTGTGTACTTGTCTCAGTTAAGAGCACTAACTGTCATTTCTGCTTGCTGCTTTGTGGATCTGCTATCAGCAATTCTAACGAGTTTTCCTGACACCAAGAGGAAAATGGTGACAGGGGAGGGAGCTCCAGCCGATTGACAGCCTCAGCTCTGTTCCTGTGAGCTGTGTGGATGGGAGGGGGGTCTCTTCCCTTCAAACAGCTCTCAGAGTTCCACTCACTGAGCCCTCTGCCCCCTTTTTTTTACTCTCAGACAAAGTTTATAAATTCAGCAGTTTGAATGGCTGTAGAGAGGAGAAGAACATATATAAACAGGTACAACTTGTAGCACCCTCTAGTGGTGCTAGAGAATTAGGAAAATTGAATGGCTCACTCAGTAGCTGGAGTGAGCATGTCTGCGTAGGGGTCAAGTCCAGATAATGAGAATGACTTTGGCCTCTATCGCCTCCACCTGGTTCTGGAGGTCCATAGCACCTTCCAGAAGCTAGTGGGCGGAGGGGTGGATATCTAGATCTGTATATTCATGGGAATCTGATCAGTCCCAGGCAGACTGGTAGTGTGGCAGGCTGCCCCTGGATATAAAGAGCCATCTCAACAGGGGTCTGGAGTCAGGTGGAAGATGATTACTGAAGGTGCTACTGTGTAGCCTGGGAGTGGACCCTGGAGAAGGGGTGTTCTGCCTACAGGCTGAAGGTTGGAGGAAAGGAAGATAACAGAGGGAGCTATACTGCCTTACAGTGCACCACAGAAGGATAGCCTGCAAGCAGAGACAGAAATTGGCTCAGTGAGAGGCCTGAATGCAGTTTACCCAGAGCTAAAGAATACAAGGACAGTTTGAACACCACTACACCCCTGGGGCCTACAGAGGGCTGCTGGGTGCAATACTGAACCAATTCTTCCTGGGACAGTGCTGCATGCCTGTTTTGGAATCTTTTTCTCCAGGATATTCTTCAAAAGACAGCCAGGCGGATGTACATTTGTACATTTTGTACATCTGAAGAGAATTCACTTAGAGGTGACCAGGTGCTCCTCACAGAGACTGTGCTGTGGATTCATTAAGAGATTGTGCCACTCTGGCTGGAGTAGAAAGTTCAGGATCTACCTTTTTGTACATAATTAGGAAGTTTGTCCTCGGTTATTACTTCAAGTCAAGTTGAGCATCCAATATACCCCTATACCCTATTGTTTATCCCCTAAATATGACAACAAAAACAAGCTCACAGACTGGTTACTGACTCTGAGTGGAAGTCTGAAAATGTGTGTTGCCTGGCTGTGCAGAATATAGGGGGACCCAATACTCAGCATCTCCTTCGAGGGGTGAGACTACAAACTTATGTAGGAGGATTTGTCTCATCTCTGTGTATCACCAGAAGGCCAGTCATTTCACTGGGTATATGTATATATGTATATGTTTACAACCATTTTAAGGTTCAAGTTCTATTAGTCCATAGTGAGGTCCAGCTCTTAGAGTTCACCATCTCTTAAAAGTAAATTTAACATGTGTAAAGGTAAAACAAATAAACAGGACTTTAATTATACCATCAGGAGTGAATGCATAGGAAGAAGATAGGGATACATTTAAAAATCCAACAATTTTTGTTACAGAAGGTCATTCATAAAATTACCAGTAGGCAAATACAAATGTAGCATTAAAACATAATTCAGCAGGAGAACAGTGGACAACAAGGTGAACAGCCTATGCATTTTGTGGAACTTCCCGCTTTGTTAGAACCTTCTAAGCCTTAGGTAAAAATAAAACCCAAATTTTGTTGTTTTTTTTTTAATTTTCCTCTTTACCCTTTTTTTTCTCTTTTGTTTTTTCTCCTCATCCTCAGATTCCCCTCCTCACCATTTCTTTCCAGCCCCCCCCCCCCCCCCCACCTTGTGAAGTAGCATGGCCCTGATGAGGTGCACGTGTGTCCTCTGACCCATTTACTTCTTTTACTTTTGGTTATTATGGGATGATGCCCCTGGAAGTGTAACTATGTGATAATGCTTGTTTGATGCTCCATTACAATCTTTTTGGATCTATGAATGTTAACATTTCACTAATTTAGAATTTATTGAAAAGTGGGAAAATATCACCTTCCAAAGACCTCATAAAGTCATCTAAGTCAAGTAACAGATTCATGCAAAAACGTAGAACTCAAAACCAACATACAGTAATTGGTGAATACTCTGACCTTTTCTGTTTATTTTATGTAAGTAAAGGAAAAAAGGAGGTGGATAGGGCATTGATGAGTGCGGAACCCCCTGAAAACCACTACATCACAGATAATTGTGGAGGGATACCACCAATCATGTTCAACTGGAAATATGTAAAGAAATTATCCATGAGCAAATATGTGCTTGGGCCCAAGTTGATTAAACTTTGAGATGCATTATTTTTATGCATTATTTCTTCATACTGAATAAGCTTGTTTTCTGCTTCAGGTCATTCACCCACGCTGAAAGATGTTGCAAACCTTCAGTGTCAAGAGTCATGCCTTTCATAAGACGAACTACCTGTGCATCTTGTTTGGTACCTCAATATAAGGAGAATAGATGTCACTTCTAGTTACCTCTCTGATATGGAAATGTATTCAGTTGTCAGTATATCTATAGCACATTGATCAAATCTCTGGGAAAATCTGCACAGGAATGTTGTACAGAACTCCTGTGCCATATTGCAAGAACTGGCATTCATATCTTTTCACTTTCAATTGGTTCCACTAGATTTTAGTTAGGGGTATCAGAGTAAAGAGGGCTAAATACAAATGCACGCCATGATTTTCAGATATTTATTTGTAAAAACATTTTGAAAACCATTTATCATTTTCCTTTCACTTCACAATTATGTGTCACTTTGTGTTGGTCTATCACATCAAATCTCAATACAATACTTTGTGTTTTTGGTTGTAACATGACAAAATGTGGAAAATTTCAAGGGGTATGAATACTTTTTCAACGCAAAGTAGTGTTAACGTACCAGTGTCCTACAGCCTCAAGAATTCTAAAAAAATATAAGAGTAAGAAAGAGGTCATTGAGGATAATGTGGCATTTTCTAGTTTGTAAGCACAATAGCAGTCTGATATGTTTGTAATAGGGTTGTATCATCAATGATGTACCCTTTGTTCCTAAGTATAGCAACCAAAGTATTGGAATTAACGTGCTTTCTACAAATAGAAAGTGCATTAACATTTTAAGCATTTAAGTCATTAGCCTTTATGAATACAAAGACCTGACTGGCTTCCAGCCCAAATCAAAAAGCCATTTTCTCCCTCCATCCTTTTTATTTTGGAGTGGAAATTGCCAATCTAAACTTATTCACCCATCACTGTTGACAACTTCTAGACCTGATGAGGTTCAACAAGCAAAAACAGGACTGTTCCATGTTTCACTGGGTCGGTGGTGCTGTGCTGTGACAAAAGTCATGTGGTACAATATTAATGAGTGGGATGTTCACTTGAAGACTTCCCAGGCAAATATAGCCTTTACCTAAATAATATTTCTTTATACACTATATTGCCAAAAGTATTGGGACACTCCTGCAAATCATTGGATTTGGGTGCTCCAATCACCTTCATGGCCACAAGTGTATAAAATCAGGCACCTAGGCATGCAGACTGCTTCTACAAACATTTGTGAAAGAATGGGTTGCTCTCAGGAGCTCAGTGAACTCAAGCATGGTACTGTGATAGGTTGCCACCTGTGCAATAAGTCCATCCATGAAATTTCCTTGCTACTAAATATTCCACGGTCAACTGTTAGTGGTCTTATAACAAATTGGAAGCAACTGGGAACAACAGCAACTCAGCCACGAAGTGGTAGGCCACGTAAAAATGAGAGTGGGGTCCGTGCATGCTGACGTGCACAGTGCACAAAAGTTGTCAACTGTCTGCAGAGTCAGTAGCTAAGGACCTCTTAACTTTGTGTGGCCTTCAGATTAGCACAACAAAAGTGTGTAAAGAGCTTCAAGGAATGGGTTTCAATGGCTGAGCAGGCATCCAAGCCTTACATCACCAAGTGCAATGCAAAGTGTTGGATTCAGTGGTGTAATGCATGCCACCACTGGACTCTAGAGCAGTGGTGGCATGTTCTCTGGAGTGGTGAATCACTCTTCTCTGTCTGGCATTCCAATGGATATGTCTGGGTTTTGGCGGTTGCCAGGAGAATGCTACTTGCCTTACTGCATTGTGTAAAGTTTGCTTAAGGAGGATTATGTTGTGGAGTTGTTTTTCAGAGTATGGGCTTAGCCCCCTTAGTTCCAGCGAAAGGAACTCTTAAGTTGTCAGCATACCAAGACATTTTGGACAATTTCATGCTCCTAACTTTGTGGGAACAGTTTGGGGATGGCCCCTTCCTGTTCCAACATGACTGCTCACCAGTGCACAAAGCAAGGTCCATAAAGACATGGATGGGTGAGTTTGGGGTGGAGGAACATGACTGGCCTGCATGGAGTCCTGACCTCATCCGATAGAACACCTTTGGGATTATTAATACAGGTACTTATATAGCGCCGTCAAGTTACACAGCAGTTTACATATATATTGTGCATTCACATCAGTCCCTAACCCTCAAGGAGCATACAATCTAAGGTCCCTAACTTACATTCATACATACACATACTAGGGCCAATGTAGACAGGATCCAATTAACCTACCAGCAGGTCTTTGGGATGAATTAGAGTGAAGACTGCGAGTCAGGCCTTCACATCAGTGTATAACCTCACAAATGCGTTTTGGAAGAATGGTCACACATTCCCATAGACACACTTCTGAACCTTGTGGATAGCCTTCCCAGAAGAGTTGAAGTTGTTATAGCTGCAAAGGGTGGGCCAACTCAATATTGAACCCTACGGACTAAGACTGGGATTCCATTAAAGTTTATGTGCGTGTAAAGGCAGGCTTCCCAATACTTTTGGTAATATAGTGTATTTGCATGTGGCCTTCACCTTCTAGTCATGTTCTTTGTTCTACCTAGAGTTCCCCTTTAAGGAGTAACTTTACTGCACCTGCAGAATGTATGCTGCAAAGCCGCATGATTAAACTGCAAATATTTTAATAAAACCGCATGAGTATCCTATTTCTAAGTTTCACCAGGTTTCAGCACAGATACAGATCAATAGTGACAGTGCTCCCCTCACTTGTAATATAACTGTTTTATTGCAAACCATGTTTCTTCTTAACATTTTTATTATATCATCTATTGAGGATCCTATTCTTCATATTTTATCCTTCGAGATAGCAGATCTTGGCAGGTTATTTCTGTCTGTCAGCAGTAGCCTGTGCTTTGGGGAAGGTTTCTTCACTATTTCGTTCAGTGCTTGGCTCGCACAGGCTTGTGTTTTAGTGCGACACAAGAGGTCATTATGGAAGGACTAAGTACTGATTGTATCTAAAATGGCCATATCTATTATAATTATTGGGGGTGTAATACCTAAAAGTTCTAGAGTTGAGATGTAGAGTTTAGTTTTCTACTGGGAAGAAGTCTAACCACAGTCTATTGGCTTCTCCCCAAGTTAGAAATTATTTATTACCCAGTTAAATGTAACATCAACTATACTGCTACATCCACCATCTACATTATTATGTACTTTGCAACCAGTTGCTACATTTTTTTTTTTTACAAAGAGACCATCAGAGGCTGGATCTGAACTGCCACCTTTGTGGTGTCTCGCTGTATCTCTTCTCACTATGCCACCTGAGATTCTGGATAGCTCCTTGTCTGATCTCTTTGGACAATCTTGCTTTGCCTCTTGTTTATAGTGAACCTTGAACTCTTTGCTCTGTCTTTATCTCTACTAACACTCATTATCGACCTTTGGCTTGTTTCTTGACTATACTTCCCAATCTGTAACCACTTGTTACTGACCTTTGGTTTGTTTATTGACTACACTTCTGCTTGATCCATACCTGCTGTATCTGCTGCTGAACGCCGGCTTTCTCATCTCCACGAACTGGTACTAATGTGGAACAAAACCCATCTCCACCATCAGGTGCTCTGTTGAACACCAATTAGTGCTTAGACCCCACACCTCAGGTGAGCCCACATCATCCTTCAGGGTGACCTGCTTGTGTACTTATCCTACTGGTCAGTGGGAGTCTCTCTACTGCTATAGCTACTGGTCTGTGAGCCTGACCCCTGACCGAGATTGAGACACATGCACAGATTCAGTTACATGCAGTCCAATCTAAATATTCTTGTTGCCCTTCTAGCATTATGATGGAGTGGGGGTTGCATTTTTGACCCCTGAAATGTGTTGGAACTCTTACATTACTAATAAAGTGATTTTCTCACAACTCGTCTTATTGGCACACCATTTCTCTTCTGTCCACACGTGTGCCTGTGATTTCAGAGCAACGTTCTAGCTCATCTTTACCATTGGAGTATTGGAATATTTGCAGGTTTTTATTGCTACGCTGCATAAGTCTTCACTAAGGAGAGGGGGGGGGATCCTCATATTAGGACCCATTTTCTATTGGCAAGTGTGCAAATGTGGATTATTTCTCTCACTGTAGAAAGAATTACTCTTACCTGTTGCATATCCAAGCCTGTAAGTGCAGCGAAATCTACCCAGAGGGACACAGCAGAAAATACTCCTGACAAGGGATGGTGCTATTCCTTACTTTATGTATAACTAGAAAAAAAGTTTTGTCAGCCTTCCATGCAGACTGCTCACATAAACTGAGCATCTGAGAGTGTTTTGTTTTTTTTTTTTCCATTTATTTTATTGATGTTTGTTCCTTTTGTAGTATTTCTATTTTATTGCTCATGACTTTTTGGCACCCATTGCAGCATATGCCATATAATGGCTGAGTGATTTCTGCTTTATATAGCAGTCAGACACCCTTTCCGACCCACCTTAGTGGGGATCTCCCACATAAAGCAGACAAAAATGGTCACAGTGGGTGCCATACACTCCTGGCCCATTTCAGCCAGTGAGTTGGGTTGCCCCTGCTCTGTAGTCAGGGGACTCCTTAGACTTACACCAGCCAAAGGGTCAAGTTTGGCCCCAGCTGAAACCTACTTTATCCTTTGTAGAGGTCTTCTTTCTGATGCCTATATTCAGCTTATTGTTAGCCATAAGCCATGTTACGCAGTCTTTATGTCTAGTCCTGAATTTCTGTTTTTGTATATGAAAAAAATTTTTCTGAAAATAAGGATTACTAAAATAAAAAAATAAAATAAAGATTTTTATAAATAAAGATTTATTTTTTATTTAAAAAAAATAAAGTTTTGACTTTGTGATTACTGTGATTGGCTGTTACAGTGGTCATGTGATTGGGAGCTGGTCCCCTCTGCTACCAATCATTAGCAGCATGGGCATAGTGAGGCCAGTCCTGATGACCAGGTGGGGGCTACACCAAGCTGTCACAGAGCTAAGCAAGAGAGTAGGAGGAGGGCACCATCCAGGAGCAGGTACCACTGTCATTGGGGAGATAATAAGACAATGGTCGGATCCATGCACACAGATATACACCCCCCCCCCTCCCCTCACTCCTCCCCACGACATCTGCTGATACTCACACAAAAATCCTCAAAAAAATTCCCTAACACCTCCTGAGCAGAGGGAAGCTGGGTGGGGAATCCATCATTATCAGCATGTGGGGGGGGGGGGGGTAAGAATGTTATTACCAGGATGATGGGGTGGAATCAGTAATTACCTGGGGGGGGGGCATGTGTCAATACTAGGAGGACATGTTTCTTTCCAGGAGGGGGGAACCTCTGTCATTACCTGGCGGGGGGAGGAGGGACATCTGCCATTACCTGGTGGGGGGAGGAGGATCATCTGTCATTAGCTGGTGGGGAGAGGGATCATCTGTGATTTCCTGGTGGGGGGGGGTCATCTGTCAATACCTGGTTGGGGGGAGGGGATCATCTGTCATTACCTGGTGGGGGGGCATCTGTCATTACCTGGTGGGGGGGCATCTGTCTTTACAGGAGGAGGGGTCATCTGTGATTAACTGAAGTGGGGGGCTCCTGAAGGAGGGGGGTTATCTGTCATTACCATAACGAGGCGGGAAGGCATGTGTCATTACCAGAAAGGGGGGGGTGTCACCTTTCCCCAATATCCTGCACCTCCACATCACTGCAGCCTGGCCATGAAAGAGGTAACTGGGTGCTGTTTAATAATGTATAAAGGAAAGGTGTTTTTCATTAAAAAAGTAAGAAAGGTGTGATAACGCCAGTGGCACACTCTCTGATCAGCTCCCTGCCCGGCCCAGCCCAGTACAGTACCCCCCTCCTGCCCATGCTCAGCCATGCATGTGTTCCCAAGGTGGGGGCAGGCAGGCCACACTCTGAGCTGCCGGGTGAAAGTGATGGGCATGTATGTGAATCTGGAAGTCAGAGGGCCCGCTGCATTTCCTCTTTTACATAGAAGCCCACCACTTTAACCTGGCAGTTCAGAGTGTGGCCTGCCCCCACCTTGTGTGCATATGCATCCGGCAGCAGGAGAGAGAGAAGAGTGAGACAGCCATCATATAGCTACCATATCTTGGTGCACGGTAGGAGTATCTTGGCGCATGGAGTGACAGCAGGAGTAGGACAGAGTAGTAGACACTGGGCAGGCTAGCGCATTGGGCTCTCTCCTGTCTAGCCTGCCACAGTGTCCTGAAGGGTGCTGGGCAAGCTAGTTTTGGTCTGGCAGCACACAGTCGGTGGTCGGTTCGCCGATTCGTGCGCTGTAACAGATGGGGGTGACATCACTGCGGTCGAATATCACTGCTTACTTGATGGTGTCACTCAAGGCCTGGACTGGGACAAAAAATAGGTCTGTATACTTTAGACTGAGCAACAAACTTTTCCATGGACTGCGGATATTCACAGAGTCGGTGCTCCGCACTGTGACACTCCACATCACTGCTCCCTCATTAGAGATCCCCCATTAGTGTCCCCATCATTAGAGGTTCCCTATCAGTGTCCCCATCATTAGAGATTCCCCATCAGTGTCCCCATCATTAGAGGTTCCTCCATCAGTGTCCCCATCATTAGTT